AAGCAAAACAAAATCTTACATTAGCCGTGTCTGAAAATGTATTTCTGCATTTTAAGTTCATCTCTCTGTCAAGAGGTTAGTAGGTTATTTCATCCTCATTCCTTTGATTTATCATGGTCTTAATCAGAGTTCTAAAGCCTGTCAAAGTTGTTTTTCTCTAAAATGTTAGTTATATAAGTTATTCTATTTCTACCCATTTCACTATATACCGTCAGTTCACAGAGGTCCTCCCAATGTTCCCCTGAGATTGTCCATTTCATGATTTCTTATGGTATAATATTCCATTGCATTTTAAAAAATAGTATCAACTCATTTTAATGGTTACAGCTTTGTGATATAGTTTGAGATCAGCTACTGATAGACCTTCCTTCTCATTGTTTTTCATTATTAGTCTTGGCCTTTTTTGTTTCTATGAATTTCATTAATTTTTTTTTCAGAAATTTGGTTGATATAGTAAATTTATATAGAAGTATGTAAGTAAATTTACTTAGATTGTGTTGTGATTTTTTATTATATTGGCTCAACTTATTCATGAGCAATTAATGTTTTTTCCAATTATATGGATTTGTTTTTACTTCTACAAATGGTATTTTGTAGTTTGATTCATATAGTCTCAGTGTGAATCTTGATAGAGCTACTCCCAATTGTCTTAAAGCTTATTTAATTATTTTGAATTGAATTTTCATTTCTAGCTCTTTCTGTTAGGATTTGTTGCTTATATAGAGGAATGTTGATGGTTTGTTTTGATTTATTATATTGTACAACTTTTCAAGTAATTCTTAGATGACTAGAGTTTTCTAAGTGCATCATCATATCATTGACAAAAGTTTTGAATTTAATTTTTCTTTGTCTATGATTATTTCTTCAATTTCTTTTTATTATCTTATTGTTTAGCTGATATTTCTGTCACTAGATTACAAAATCATGGTGATAATAGGCATCCTTCTTTTTGTTCAGTAGTTTTTCAGTAGTGTCTGACTCTTTGTGACCCCATTTTGGGTTTTCTTGGCAAAGATAGGACAGTCTGGTGGTAATGTGTAGGATGGAGGATGAATTAGAGTAAAGAAACACATCAGTGGGGTATTGTTATAGTCCGAGCTGTAGCTTAGGCAAGAGCAATAGCAGTGGGAAGAAAAAGGGTGGGAGAGCTGAGAAACATTCCAAAGAATCCAGGAATGTGACTGCCTCAGTTTGGTAGAGTGCTTTATACTTTTCCAATTCTCTCATTTGATCCCCTTGAGCAGCCACCTTATGAGTTGTTCGAGCAACTATGTATCCTATATAGTTGCAGTATACTCTAGCATAGCATACTACATATCACCTATATATGAAGCCTGATACTTTCCCAGATATTTTCATATCAGGTATTAAGGTATGCTCTTTTTAAAAAGTGTAGCCATTTTAAAATGTAGCATGTTGACAATAATTTTTAAGTCATTGCTTCTGTAACTTTTGAAAATTTATTATCAGGCCAGTGGTGTCCAAGTCTGCATAGAACTATGCTTCGAAGTATTCTGGGGAAAACCTTTCGACTTCTTGGCTATACTCTTCAGTATGGCTGTATAGCTCATTGTGCCTTTGAATACGTCGGTGGTGTTGTTGTGGTAAGTTTTGAATATTCAGTAACAGTGACACTGATAAACATTTAAGTTTTGGTAAAAGGAAAGAGCTATATTTGTAGCCATTCACTAGTTAGTCAAAACAAGCAGTTTGAAATACAAAATATCCTAAGATTCTGGGGTCAGATGAGGTATAACTGTGTAATTTTAATTGATGCTTAAAAAAATAAGTTTTTTTTAATTACTTAGTCTGATCCATTATCCATTAAGCTTTGTATTTTATTTCCAGCAGGCATAGGATCTGTGGCAAGAGGGCCATGGCTGTGTTATCTAGAATTATCATTATAAGGTTAGGGACATATCCCCTATTCTGATAGTTTCCTCAATAACAATATGGATTAATCGAACATAATTTTTCTAACATTTTATGACACAAAGAAATCTATAAATGAGTATGTTTTTTACTTCCATTTCTGTACCATACATTGCTACCATTACGAAGCAGCCTCTCCTTTTAGAGTTGTTAATACATCCATCTTTATCACTTGATTCATTTTATGGAGCCATCTACCCACTTCTAGGTAAGACTCTTTTTCCAAATAGTTCTGCACCTGGCTCATCATACTTCTCCCTATCCTAATTGCTCCCCTTACACTTGAAATATTTAATGAACATGTTGGTGTTCCCTCAAACATTCTGATATACAAATTTATCAAGTTCCCCAATTCCAAGGATGGTGACTTTTACTTCAGCCACATGTGAAGGTGGTCATTCATACCTTTGTTCCTACCAACACTATAGCTGCTCCACTTCCATGACATTGAATTTTAAAATTCCTTTGATCACAACCTCCAGTCTGTCCATCTCTCCCTCTACTTTGCTCCTAAACCCATTTTTTATCTTCACTGCTACTTCCAGTCAGTGTGTCCCTCTCTCTTCTCTTGGTACATTAACTTTGCTCTGACTTCACTTTCCTCTCTTTATCATCTTGACTCTGAAGGTGACCTTTTCAACTGTACTAACTTCTACCCTTTAACCTCTTTGCCCTTTCTCCTTTTACCAAACAAGCTTTATTTGCTAAATTGCAGTCCTTGGGTATCACCATTAAATATTCACCTTCTGTCTTCCCACTCAACATACTAAAGAAAGTCATAAAATCATGCTGACTAGGTTCAGCACAGATCTTTATTTTCTATTATCAACTGCCTGAGGTGAAACTGTAATTCTGATTGACCACCACAGTCTTCACTGAAGTTGTTCCAAATCTCCTGTCTCTGAAATCCTACTGTCCTCCTCCTTCTCAGCAGTGGCCCTTGCTTCCTACTTTATTGAGATCTTTTTCTCTCCTATTTTGTACCTTCTTACCATGAAGGATGACCTCTTCATCATCCCCTGGTCTCTCCTGTGTTCCAGTTTTTGATGAAGAGTCTACCTTTCTCATAAAAGCCAGCTCTTCTTCCTGGTGTTGTCTCCTATTTCTTTCCATTGCCCTGGGAGTTTGTCCCTTCGGTCATCACTTGCAATTGGCAGTCTCTTTTATTTTAATGTAGCCTTTCCTCCTGACTACAGTCTACCTAAGTCTCTTATATCCTTTGCAAACATTCACTTAATCCTGCTATCCCAGTCAAATTCCCTAAATGGTCACATATTTGTTACTCCCATTGCTTCACCTTTTACTTACTTTCCAACTCCCGGGAATCTGGCGTCTGCCCCTAGCACTCAGCTGAACTGATCTCTCCAAGGTTAGGAAGGCTGTTTTAATTGTTCTGCATTCTTTTTTTAGCCCTCATTTTACTTGACCCCGCTACAGCTTTTGAGATTATTGACCATTCTTTCTCCCTGATACTTTGTCCTCCCTTGACTTCTGTGACACTGATCTCTCTGAGTTATTCTCCTGGTTTGTCTGCACTCAGACTTCTTTGCAGAATCACCCTCCTGTTTCTGCCTGCTAAGTTTTGGCATCCCCAAAGTTCTGTTCTCAGCTCTTTTCTTTTCTCTCTACACTCTCTCCATGATCCCTGTCAGCTTTCACAAATCCAAATATCACCTATGCAGATGACTCTCACATCTATATATACAACTTTATTCTCTTTCTTGAAACTTCAGGCCCATATTACCAAATATGTTTGTTGGAAATTTCTAATGATATGCATCTTAAACTCTCCATTTCCAAAATTGGATTCATTATATTAACCCTCTAAACCTATTCTTGTTCTAATTTTCCCCTTTCTGTTGAGGTTACCACCATTCTTCAGGCACTTAGGATCACAACCGTGGAATCATTTACCTTTTCCCTCTTCTTCATCCTTCTCCCCCATGTTCAGTTATTTGCAAAGTCTTACTGTTTCTGCCATCACATCTGTATCATGTTTTCTTTCCCTAGCCATAATCTTAGTTCATATTTTCATAACCTCATCTACACCATTGCAGTAACCTTCAAATTGGCATTCTCATTCCAGGCTCTCTCTTGTGCAATTCATCTTCCACACCTTTGCCAAATTCATATTTCTGAAACATAATCTAACCATGTGTCTCTCTTATAAAGAATCCTTAGTGTCTTCTTATTTCTTTTAGGATAAAAAATCCTTAGTCTGGCTTTTAAAGCCCTTTGTAATCTGTCTCCCACCTGTCTTTTCAGTCTTATTTCGTATTATTCTCCATTACAGTTAAACTAGCATATACCAGCCATTACTTGTACATTATGTTCCATTTCCTGACTTCATCCCAAGCCAACTGTCTGTAGATAGAACACTGACTATATTATTAGAACAAAGATAAAAATTAATATAAAGTTTTTTTAAAAGAATAAAAATAAAATTAAAAGACATGATGTGCAATCAAAACAACTACATCTTGACCTATTTAAACAAGTTATTGATGATGAAAAATGGGATATGGATGGAACAGATGAACATAGACAATAAAATATTTTCAAAAAGGTTTAGCTGTTGTAAATCAATTTATATAAAAAAGGAGACTAAAAAAGGCCTAAAAAAGTGTTTGAGTCAGTGAACACTTGACTTATAAACCAAGAAAAAAGATATGTCAACCCAGGACAACACCGTTTCAGAATATGTTATCACTTGTAAAATCTTGTAATAATCAATGGTGGAAAATTTGGAACAGTATTGCTTCTTAAAACAGAGAAAAACAGTAGAGGGTAAAACCAGTTTAAGAAATTGTGGCAGGAGAAAAAAACTAAACAAACTTTTGCCAAGGGCATTTAACTATAAAAATAGGAGAACAATAAACCCAACAAAAATGAAAAAATGCACAAATTCTTGAAACTGTTTTTTCCATCATCAAGGACTGGGGAACAACTAGAGGAAATTAGAGACAGTTATTTGTCACCATGGATAGAGTGCTTGGCCTGAAGTCAAGAAGACCTGATTTCAAATATGGCTTTATTTACTAGCTGCATGACCCTTGGTGATTCATTTAAATCTCTGTTTGCCTCCGTTTCCTCAATAGTAAAATGAAAATATTAACAGCACCTAATTCCCAGGGTTGTTGTCAAGATTAAATGAGGTAGTATTTATAAAGTGCTTAGCATAATGCCTCGCACGTAGTTGGCGCTCTATAAATACTTATTCCTTTCCTCTCCTAACTATACTTAGCGTTTGTCATCACACTTCTGGATATGCCTGTACAATTAGAAATGGCACCAGAGAAAGGAAAGCTTCTGAACTAGACCAAGTGTAAATAGAGGAGTTTTGTGTCAGAGGTGACACCATTGTGAGGGTATTGAGGGCTCAATCTGCAAGTTATCTGAAGGAGGGGAAATTATAAACCAAATAGAAAAAAAGTCTTAGACCTTATTAGTTCTCCTTCCCCCCAAGAAGTGATCAAAAGAACATGAGCACTGCTTACCTCTATGTCTACTTTCCTGTCTGTGCAGAATTTTTGTGCAAATTACTGACATGTGCATTGGAAGCATCCTCAGTGAGGGTATTAGAAGCTTTTGCCAACCCTTCTTAATTCTAGTGCCTTTATTTTGTTCGTTTGCTATATTTCCTGTAAAGCTTATTTGTATACATTTGTTTATTGTCTTCTGCCATTAGATTGTGAGCTCCTGGAGGGCAAGGACTATCTACTTCTTTTTATGTCTCCAGTGATTGGCACAGTCCTTGGCACATAATAGTCACTTGATAAATATTGATTAATTAGTAGTGAGAAACAAATGGACTTTTTCAAGTGATATTCTAAAGTAGACCATATCTGTGTGCTCATACACATGATTGAAAGAGATTGAGCATACCAAATCCCACTGTTGCTTACTGTTGATTATATCCCAGCATTTGATTTGGTGGAGCAAAATACCATCTTGAAGGCTGTCCTCCAACAAAGGGTCTCCCACGCAAACATCAAAGTTACTCATGATTCCATGAAAGATGCAGCATAACCTTTTTGACAGTCTTCCTGATCATTAACATATAGGGTGGCATAAAACAAAGAGATGTACTGCATTATAATGGAAGAGATCCAGCACAGAATTCCAGGTCAAATAGGGATGCTTTGTCCTATTTGTGGATGGTACCATGCTTGTTGCATTGAGCCCCAGGATAAAAACTGCAGGATATCTCTAGGAAAAGTTCTGCATCCAATCAATATTATCTCCAAAGCTTTTAGTACCATATCTGGGACATAGGTGCTTAATAGTGCTTCCCTTCCCCTTTCAAGAATTTGACCCCAGCTACAAAGGGAAAACAAAGCAAATCATGTATGCCTTTTGTCCACATTGACTTGCAATTTAGATTGACACCTTAGGGGTCTTGTCCATTAATATCATGTACCTAAGGTTCCCTCCAGTCCCCAATCTATGATCCTGATCCTGTAGTCTTAGATGCCACAAACATATAAGAAGTTGAACCTAGAATGAATAGGAGAGTAAGGTAGGCTATGCTCAGGCAATTTATAAAGCTCTTTTAATGACCCCAATCTTCTCCTAGAAACAAAAGCTTCTCTTTTTAATACCAATGTGCTCCCACTGTCATTGCATGACTGGGAATCATAGAATACCCCAGTCCCCGAGAAGTGAATCACAGTGAAGGTAACTTACAGGCCCATGGCCAGGAGGAGCAGGTTGAAGCACGTGACACACAAGGACCCATGAAGAACAGGAATGAACAATATTTTTAAATAAATGTATGATCACAAAAGACAATGGGATTATCCTGCATGAGGATGAGGACATCTCTTATCTGCCACTGGTATCCTTGTGATATGAGGAGAGAGTTACCCCCCTGCTGTGAACCTGTGGCCCAGTGTGAACGTGGGTCACACAGTAGGGTGGGCATGGATGAGTTTCAGTTTTGATTAATTGAGGACATACACATCAGTGAGATCACAGATACGTTTCAATGTTTTGAGTACATATGAGTTTATGAATTTTGTTCCAGTAGAATATAAGATTCCTGAGGGCAGGAATTGGTTTTTTGTCTTTGTATCCCCACATGTCCAATCAGTTTCCAATTTTTACAACATTTATCACATCTGTCCCCTTCTGTCTGCTCCTTCAGCCCCATTCCCACTTCAGGACCTCATTTCCTCTTGTCTGGCTTATTGCAAGGCCCCCTAATTGATGTCCCTGGCTCAAGTCTCTTCCCTCTTCAGTCCATCCTCCACAAAGCTGCTAGAGTGGACATTCTTAAAGCACAGGTCTGGCCATGTACTTCTCCTCAGAAAATTCCAGTGGCCCCCTTTTGTTTCTAGGTTGAAATGTAGACTTCTGTACGTAAAACCATTCACGATCTGGACTATACCCGCCTTTCCAGGCATGTTATATGTTACTTACTTTCATCTGTCAGAGTCCAGCCAAGCTGGCCTTCTTACTGTGTGTTACACATGACTCTCCTTCCTTCTTCTGGGTCTCTATTTTTGCACAGGCCATCTCCCAGTCATTCCTTACTTCTGTCTCTAAAAGTCTGTCATTTCCATCAAAACCCAGAATGTGTGCCACTTCCTAGATGAAGCCTTTCTGAATCCCTCTAGCTATCGGTTTCCCTTCTACAAGTTATTTTATATTTGTTTGCCTGTAAGGAATCTTCTGGAGATCAGGCACCATCATTTTTGGCTCTGTATCCCCAGTGGCCAGCACACAGTAAGCACTGAATTGAATTGACTTATAAGTATGTACCCAGTGTGTTACCTTAAGAATTATTTTATTTCAAAATAATGAATAGCAAGAGCTTTGGGGGTGTAGGGCTTCTTTAAAAGAATTTTTAAGAATTCATAATTTCTGTTAGATAAGTATTTTCTGATTATAAAATTATCTTTTTTTATAGTGTTCTGGGCCATCAATGGAGCCTACAATCCAGAATTCTGACATTGTCTTCGCAGAAAATCTTAGCCGACATTTTTATGCTATCCAAAGGTAAATTTCACTCGTGGAATTCTGAAGTGAGAAATTTCTGAGGATTATAATAAGAGGAGAATTAGAGAGTTCAGTTCATTTAGGCCCTCCTTCATCCAAAGTGCGGACTTCTTTTATCCCATTTGACCCTCTGCTTCAAGAATTTTTTTTTTTTTGCTTTTTTTGGTGAGGCAATTGGGATTAAGTGATTTGCCCAGGGTCACACAGCTAGTAAGTGTCAAGCGTCTGAGGCCAGATTTGAACTCAGGTCCTCCTAACTCCACAGCTGGGCTCTATCCACTGCATCACCTATCTGCTCCAAGAATTCGAGTAACAAGAAACTCACTAACTTACTGAGACAAGCCTTTTTATTTGTAGACAGGTCTAATTGTTCTTTAAAGGTAAATTTCTTGTTTGTGGGTTAACATTTAAAATATTTTCCTTGAAAAGATACGAATTCCTTGTCCACAATAATTGTAGATTCCCCATGTAAATTCTCATGGCCTTTTTTACTTTTATGTTAGTGATTTACTTGAACTCTTTTTTTAGCGTGGGAATTTCAGTTCCTTATTTGTCTAGTGTAGGCAGAGGAATCTGTTCTATAATACATATACATATATGTATATTGTATAAGTCAGTATTTTATATGTTGCATATATGTGTATAAGTATACATGCATGTGTACACAATTACTATTCTTTGTTCCCCGTTCTTTTTCACTTGTGTAAGTCTTAACTGACCTTCAATCTCCACCTCACACGTTACCTCTCCCATGAAGCCACCTTCACCTGCTACCTCATACTGCCTGGCAATAATGATACTATTGTTTTTTGATGAGGTACCACACACCTGTGCCACAATTTGGGTATTTAATGTTCTCTCTTTTACTGTGCTTGAATTTTTTTTTTCATATCACTCTCCCCAACAAATTTGTATGCTTCTTGGGGGCAGGGAGTATGCTACAGAATCTTTTAGCTGTAGGATACATAGAAGACACTAAGTAAAATTTTTTACATTGACCTTAAATACAGTGTTATTTATTTCTCTAGTGAATGGAACTAAATGTTGGCTTGTCTTGCAAAAAAACCACTATCTTTGACTTCCTCGTAGGCAAGGTTGATCCTTCTAATTATTCTGTCTATTCAAAGTAGGAACCCTGTTTACTAAATAGTAGTATGATTCATCTTACATAGTTAATTTTGAGAGGTTTATGAAGGGTTCTTTTTCCATGTTTTAGTTCTTAAGATTAGTTCGCAGGTGATATCTCCCAGAAGTGGGGGAAATGGTAGATCATGGAGCTCACAGATGTAGGAGGCCCCAGTTATGCCTTTCCTACAACATAAATTGATGACTTCCGACTTTTAAACATGAGACCACATCAGCATATTTGGAGTAGTTGAAAGACCATTGGATTGGAAGTGAGAATACCTGGGTTCTAGTCCAAAATCTGCCATTTATTGGGCATTTGTCCTGCAAAAGTAATTTTTCCCTCTGAGTCTCAGTTTGCTGATTGGTAAAATGGGAAAAATAATATTTGCCTACTTCCTAGGGTGGGGTTTATGAAAATCAAATGAGAACTGGGTGATGTAGTGGATAGAGCACTGGACCTGGAGTCAGGAAGACCTGACCCTGGACTCAGATACTTACTAGCTGTATGACCCTGGGCAAGTCACTTAGTCACAGTCTGCTTGAGTTTCTTCGATTTTAAAATATGGATAATAACATCTACCTTCCATTTTTGAGGATCAAGTGAAATAATATTTGCGAAGAGCTTTGTAAAGCTCTTCAAGCACTCTGTAAATGCTAGTGATTATTATAATAAACTGTAAAGTACTAAGTAAATGTATCAAAGTATTGGAGCATGATGTATAGTATGTGCTAGAATAGTATCACTGACATATTTGTGTCTCGTGAATAACATTTGGTAAGCATCTTGAAATTTTTCTTAATTTTTCCTTTCAGAGGTGACATTATAATTGCCAAAAGTCCAAGTGATCCTAAATCAAATATTTGTAAAAGAGTAATTGGTTTGGAAGGAGATAAAGTTTTCACGCACAGTCCGTCAGATTACCTTAAAAGCCATAGTTATGTAAGTAACGGCACGATTTGTGCTCTACATTGTGTTATGCTTGATTAATAAGAAGTAAACACATGTAAAAAAGAAAGTGGGACTTGAATGTTCCTGATCTTACTGGAAAGGCTTCTTTCTAGCTTGTCCTCATTACAGATAATGCTTGCTGATGGTTTTAGATAGATACTACTTATCATTTTAAGGAAAGCTCCCTCAATTTCTATGTTCTCTAGTGTTTGTTGTTGTTTTTTCAATAGGAATGAGTGTTGTATTTTGTTAAAAGCTTTTTCTGCATGTTTTGAGATAATTATTTAATTTCTATTGTTTTTGTTGTTGATATGTTCAATTGTGCTGTTAGTTTTTCTAATATTGAACCAGCCCTGCATTCCTGGTATCAATCCCACCAGATCATGGTACATGATCCTTGTGATATATTGCTATAAATTCCTTCCTAGCATTTTATTTAAAAATTTTTGCATCAATATTCATTAGGCAAATTGGTCTCTTGTTTCCTTTCTCTGTTCTGGCCCTTCCAGGCTCAGCTTATCGGCACCATATTTGTACCATGAAGGGAATTTGACAGGACTCTTTTTTCACCTAGTTTTTGAAATAGTTTATGTAACATCGAAGTGAATTGTTCTTTAAATGTTTCGTCAAATTCACTTGTGAATCCATAATTTGCATTTCTTAAGAAGTTTTAAGGTCGACTGCAGTGTGACTAGTATGTTTCATATCATTTAAGTTTCAACCACTACATTGATTTATCTTATAAACAGGGTAATCACTAACTTTCTATCTCCTACTTATTTCTAATATTGGAAGCTAAGGGTAATGGCAGATATTACAATGCAAATGGAGGAAGAAGAAAATGTCTTGTACATAATATAGTAAGTGCTCAAGAAATGTTGAATCAATGGTGTGATCACTCATTGTCTCCTCCCTCCAGCTGTCTATCATGCCAGCCATGGTACATTAGCGGGAGGATAGAGGGTAGTGTCGTTCACACATACTCACTCTAGCATGCAAGGCAGCTTACTATAGTAATAATCAACTCCTTTGGAGTTTTAAATTTCTTTAGTTAACCAATCAGCGTGCAATTATTAAGGCCTTATGTACCAGGCATTGTGCCAAGTGCTGAGGATACAGTCTCTCCTCTCAGGAAGTTTATCCACATTTTAAAGAAGACCACATGTCTATAAGTAAGTACATACCAAGTAGATAGAAGGCAGTCTTAGCGGGGACAGCACTAGCAGCTCAGGGGACTGGGAGACGCCTCCTACAGAAGACTTAAAAGCTGATTCTGAAAGGAAGCCAAGGATTCAAAGAACTGGAGGTTGAGAGGGAGAGTATTCCAGGCCTGGTAACAGCCTGTACCATGGCATAGGTTGGGGAGCTAGAACCTGTAATTTCAGGAACAGAGAGTAGGCCAGTATGGGAAATAATGAATTAAAGTTAATGGCAAGCACCTTCTGAGGTCAGTATTTGTATGGCTAGATTAATTTACCTTCATAATTATATTGAATTTTGACCCATATGAATGCCGCTTTGCCATTCAGCTGTCACCCTGGGCAAGCCCATTTAGCTTCTCAGCACCCCAGAGAACTAAGGCTATCAGTTACTATAGAGCTGTTGATCTGCATGGCATTGAAATCCTAGGCCTGACAAAGTCATTATAAGAGCTCCTTACTGTATATTCTAAATTCTTTTGATTGAGTGATTGCTATGCCATTTATTGAGCACCAATGATGAACCCCTATAGTCATTAACATAATTTTTTTCATCTTTTAGTACTGTTCTCACTGGGCATATAGTAAATGTTAGATGATGAGGGTGGTAAGGAACCTGAGAGAGCAGAAGACACCCTAAAGAGAGGGATTATCCTCGCTAGCAGTTGATTTTCCATCTTCAAAAATACTCTTAAATTTCTCTAAATGTGGCATTCAGCATTATGTGACAATGCTACTGTTTCACGTACCACTTTCCATTCCCAAAGCTCATTTAGTTAGGCTAGGTGCCATCTATAAGCTTGAACGCTAGAAAAACAAGATGGGTGACATAAAACCACTTTTGTTCATGTTTACTTTAGATTTTTTGTCTCTTCAAGTATTATTAGAGGAGCATTAGCAGGACTGCGGCGCTCGTTTAAACGCCCTCATTGCTAGTAATCAGACAAGACTTACTAAGGAAACAATGACAGAAGGGAACTGATTTGGCAGATGGGAAGTACTCAGTCGTAAGATGTTTTAATGAGTAAAAATTAGTGCTTACGTTGAGGTCATTATATACTTCCAGAGTATTTAATTTCTTAATGGAAACCTATTGATCTATAGTATTTGAACAATCACCAATCAATGCTTCAAAGGTGACTCTCTTAAAAACGATCACTCTCTTTAGTTTAAGATAATTAGAAACCACTTCTTGGTGGCACCACGGGGGGGTCGTGGTTTTGAATTTTGGATAAATTAGATCTTGTTGCCCTTTGTCACATTGTTTACTAGTTCCTTCATAGTCCTGGTATATTTATGAATCTAAATAAGCTGGCCTGAGTTTGAATTGTCCAGTTGTTGTTTTGCTATTTCTGAAATTTTGTTTTTTAAAGAGGATGAATGTTATAATTAGAGAAGGCAGTGGGGTCTTTGGGGATCAGATATTAATATTGCTTCTGAAAGAAAAGCCTGTGATTTCTGAGTGTCTTTTCTTCATGTTTTCCAGTCTGGCCTAGTCAAACTATAGAAGTTCATGTTGTACCTTTTACAGAACCAATTCAGCAAATGGGTTTCATTAATCAAGCCAGTTTATACAAATAGTTCTTCCAAGTTTAGAAGTCTCTGAAGAGATGTTCAAACTGCTAGCTTTCACGCTCCACCCCTTTGGAATATGCTTCTGTTTGGCTAGCTTAAGCAAACACTGGTGCTGTCTTTTATTGAAATGGCCTCTCTTCTTTTCTAGTTCAAATTGTTAGTAAATCTTGAGATATTACTATTCAGCTGTTGATTGAGTTGTGTTGGAAATGTGCTATTCATTAAATATTACAAAGCTACAATGAGTATCAGTGTTAAATATGATTTGATATAGTTACTGTTGTCCTTCCTTGTTTGTAGCCAGTTCAGAAAATGAAATACCAACACACTGTTGTCTGGAACCTCGAATATACATTTTAGCATATGAAAGAGATAGCATTGTTCACAAGCTGGCAAAAAAGAACCTAAACAGATCTCTACTTAAGAGCAAAAGAATCATTTTACTCATTCCAGAAGCCATGGGGAAGCAGCAGGGTTTTTTTGTTTAGGGACATTCTGCCGCATGGAAATCATGATTTATATTCGACATTAAGCTTTTGGAAGCAAGGTAACCCTCAGAAGGATGTTACTGCTGTGCTTTCCGTAGGCTTCTGTGGAGGAAGAGCGGTTCTTTCAGTTGGGTGAAGGAGTTTTGGTACTGCGCCGTGAGCTGAATTTGGGGTTATATAAGAACAAATTTCCTGGCTTGAGTACTTTGTCTCATTTGCCTTCCTATACTAGAGAAACTCTCCAGTCTTCAGCTAGAAGTCAGTAATTTGCTATGAAGTTGCTTAATTTGAAATATCACACTTAACAAAAAGTTACCTAATAGGGATAGATATTTCCCTGATTTGTATAAATCTGATCTGTAGGCAAGTTTAGTTTTAAAACACCATTTATTTAGTTATTAGATAGGAATGTCCGCAAGCTAACATAGGATATGAAACATAAAACACTGTTCTAATGATGTTGGAGAGAAAGCTAAGCCTCCACTTGAAAGCCTACATGGGGATTTTGTACTATGGCCTAATGATGGACTTTTAAAATTTCTGCTGATTCTGGCATAGCTCTTCTGGCTCAGCACCTCCCACCCTGCCTGGAAGCAGGTATAGTGGGTGTTTAATAAAATAAATCGTTGATCCTTCTCAAGTGTCGGAATACAGAAGATGCAGAGATTTTTCTAGTAGGCCTAGAATTGACCTGTCTCCACACAGTAATGGGTCTGTGCTGTGACTTTTTCAGACTTGGCAGGGAAAAGTCAAACCTCCTGCTGTTAGGGAAACTTAGAGATCCTTGAATTTGTGTGTCATAAGAGCCTAGGCTTTTACATTTTGCACTTGTGAGGGTATCTCCCCCATCTCGGGGCGGGGGACAGTGAAAAATATGTTTTCATAACAAATTGAGGCTACACAGGAATGTTCTGTTCTAGAGCCAGTCAGTGCATGCTAGGAAAAATAAAAAGATTGAAGCAGCCACGTACTTCCTGTGTGCTCTGGCTGGTGCTCCCTGACTGTCAGCATGCTACCTGCCAGTATCCTTGTACTCCAGAAACTCAAAGCCCTTTTGACTTTTGTACTTAATAGCTGTGAACCACATTGGGCCCAGTGGTACCTTCTCTAGAGAAGGCCTATGGGGCTCTAGTCCAGGGCGATCCTCATGGAAAGAGGAGGTAGTGTACACTTGTTCTGGAGCCAGGACTAGTTCCAGCCAGATGTCACTTCATTCCCAGGGCATCTCCCCTGCTCTCTCCTGCTTCTCTCTTTTCTACTTCTGGAACCATAATCAAATCAGTTCTGTCATTGCTCCTATAAAGATGTGACAGTCTACTCCCTTATGGTTCCCTTCCCCTTCCCTCTGACTTTTCAAACCAGAATATCCTTTCCTGGCTACCATTCTGCTAATTTTGTTCTTTCCCCATTAGAATGTAAGCTCCTTGAAGACACTTCAAGCAAGGATTGTCCTTGCTTTAATATTTGTATTCCCTGTGCTTAGCAAATAGCAAGCACTTAATAAATGCTTTTTCATTCATTCATTCAGAAGATAGAGGTTTGGGCACTGGTTCTGACTCTACTTGTGTGATCCTGGGCAAACTGTCCTCTTTTAATTTTTAAGAGAGAGAGAGATAGACAAAGAAGAGAAGAGAGAGTGATGGGAAGAGAGAAGGAAGAGGAAAAAGAATGTATTTTGATACACAAAGCAGAGCATAAAACCAAGATTCTGTATGAAACTGAATTTCAT